GCGCCCCCCCCGCTGTCCGACTACCTTCGTGCCGCTCGTCCCCTCGTTCCTCGGGTCCTTGCCTCTCTCGTTACCGACCCGTCTGTTCCAGTCTCGTGCCTTGACGCTCTTGTCGCTGCTGTGGCTGACTTCGCCTCTACCCGCCGCCTTGACTACGCCACCGCTCTGGTCTCTGACCCTGCCTGTCCTCCGTCTGTCGGGGGTGCTCCTGCCCTTGGCAGTGACGTCCTGGAGGACCGCCAGTTCGATCTTGCTTTCCTGTCTGAGGCTGCTCCCCATCTCTGTTCCATGCTGCTAGTCCCTGAGGGTGACCCAGACGCTTTTGACATCCCGACCCCTCGCACTTACGCTGAGGCGACTTCGGGACCCTGGGCCTCGCAGTGGATAGCTGCCATGGAGCAGGAGATGGCATCTTGGAGATCCACCGGCACCTTCGTCGACGCAGTTCCCCCACCTGGGGTGAACGTAGTCGATGGCCGCTGGCTCTTCAAGGTGAAGCGCCCTCCTGGAGAGCCGCCTGTCTTCAAGGCGCGCTATGTGGCTAGAGGCTTCAATCAGCGCGAGGGGGTGGACTTCTTCCAGACTTTCGCTCCGACCCCGAAGATGACTACTCTTCGGGTTCTGTTACACCTAGCTGCTCAGCGTGACTACGAGCTTCACTCTCTCGACTTCTCCACTGCCTTCCTTCAGGGCAGCCTACACGAGCAGGTCTACCTGCGCCGCCCTCCGGGCTTTACTGGCACCTTCCCTCTTGGGACCCAGTGGCTCCTGCGGCGTCCCGTCTACGGCCTGCGCCAGGCTCCCCGTGAGTGGCACGACACTCTGCGTGCTACGCTTGCTGACCTGCAGTTCTTTCCGTCTTCTGCAGACCCTTCACTCTTCGTTCGTGCTGGCCAGACTCCGTTCTACATCCTCGTCTACGTCGACGACCTGGTCTTTGCCACAGCAGACAGGGACGCGCTGGCCTCCGTGAAGGCAAAGCTGCTGAAGAGACACACCTGCACTGACCTTGGAGAACTGCGCCGTTACCTTGGCTTGCAGATCTCCAGGGACAGAGCTGCGCGCACCATCACCCTGACTCAGTCACACTTGGTGCGCCAGGTCCTTCAGAGGTTCAGCCTTCAGTTCTCCTCTGCACAGCCCACCCCTCTGCCTGTAGACCACAGGCTCTCCGCTCCAGTGCCTGAGGAGTTGGTAGAGCCCAGCGGCCCCTACGCAGAGCTGGTGGGTTGCCTCATGTACCTGATGACTTGCACTCGCCCAGATCTCGCATACCCTCTCAGCATCCTGGCTCGCTTTGTGGCCACAGGCAGACACCGACCGCAGCACTGGTCTGCCGCTAAGAGGGTTCTGCGTTATCTTGCTAGTACATCGGGCATGGGGTTAGTGCTAGGAGGACGCAGGCCAGCGGTCCTTACTTGGCACACAGATGCTTCGTGGGCAGACGACGCTGAGACACTCCGGTCTACCCAGGGCTACTGCTTCAGCCTTGGCTCAGGTGCCGTCTCTTGGAGAGCTACTCGCTCCTCGTCTGTTGCACAGTCCAGCTGTGAGGCTGAGATCTACGCCGGTGCCATGGCGGCACAGGAGCTCCGCTGGCTGACCCTCTTGCTCACTGACTTAGGTGAGCGACCTAGCTCTGCCCCGGTCCTGTTCGCTGACAACAGGGCCATGATCCTCCTGTGTCAGGAGCCTCGACTCGAGGGCAGAGCGAAGCACATTCAGCTGCGGTACTTCCTCCTGCGTGAGCTACAGCAGCGACGTCAGGCTCGCGTAGTACACTTGGCCTCAGGTGCCAACACGGCTGATATGTTTACGAAGGCGCTTGCGCCTAAAGATCATCAGCGGCACTGTGTACAGCTTGGTCTAGTTCCTGTAGCCTCTCACTTGCTAGGACCTTGACTTTGTACTGTCCTTTATATGTATACTCAGACTGGACTTGTGTCCTCTCCCAGTGGCTGGACTAGTAGTGCCGCCCTGGTCTTGATCTTACCTTGCCTGTACTCCTTCTGATTGGTCTTTTAGACCCTTGTCTCAGAGGTTGGACTAGTAGTGCCGCCCTGAGCTGTTTGTTTAGGACTTTCCCCTATGCAGTCTAGGGGGTGTGTCAAACATGTCTATTTGTTATGTTTGTATAGACTGTATAGGGTAGCCTCTTAGAGGGTACAATGTGTGTACTCTCCCCCTATCACTATCATTCAATTTTCTGATAAGTAGCACTTAGATACAAAACATTGATTTGAGCCCAAAGCTAGAAGTGTCTTATAGAGGTGGATGGAAGACTGGTCTAACTGTACAGCTGCTAGGTTAGCACAAGGTTAGACAAGGTCAGATTCAGACAGACAGCTACAAGTCGACAAAGGTGACAATGGAGGACAAGGTGTCGTCCTCCGCACAACTAGACCTAAGGTCGGCAAGCCGTTGGAGGTGCTCACTCAGGACAGCTGGTTCAGTAGTCTCAGCTTCATCTCCTGAATCATCCAAGTGAGACACCTCAGGATACTCAATAATGCGGATGGAGTAAAGCCCTGGAAATTCCCGATGGATTATCTGAACGTCAAGTAGGTCACAGTTAGTGTGTGCCAGCTCCAGCTCTCGGAAATCAGTTGCTTTGCAGGGTCTGCTGTCCCGGTAGTCGTCTGGTACCCTTAATGAGCCTGGCCGCTTACCAGCTCCAAGGCTAATGTGGCTGAGCCGTGCCGTCCTGAGAACGCTGCATGCCTTCAAAAGTATAACCCCTGAAGAGCATATGAACACCACAACTTGTAAGCACGTCGTCATTTAAAACAAAGAACAAATTGTGGTTGGTGTAAATCACTTACCATCTAGCGTAACGGCCTCCCCTGTGAGTTCCAGGTGCTGAAGGCAGGCCCACCCAGTGACCATAGCCGCTATACATTTATTCTCAAGTCCACCACAGTCTCCTGAGGGCGACCATAGACGAAATACTTCTATTTGGGGGCATTTTTGAATGAAACGAAATATCCACTGGGGTATGTCACTCTTCATGCCGGACCTCCCTGCGTTGTAGTAGATCTCGCATACCTCCAAACACCTGCAAGGAGAATAAATTAAGCTTTAATAGCTCCAGCAAGAGATCACACAGCAGGAAGCATCAACTGACCCACCTGCAGTGGTTCGTGACCCTGATCATGAGTTCGGCGTAAAAGAGTGCACTCCTGTAGTCCTTCTTGTAGATGTTGCAACCAGTTGAGATCACAAGCTTCTTGAGGCTGGAACTTGCGGACACCAGCACTTCTTCAACGCCATCAATCCAGGCCGAGCTGAAACGAACCAAGAACGGGAAAATTGAGGACTTGAACTACCTCAAGGATATAAATGGGAGACACGTAACCTGACCGATTCCAAGTCTTGTCGTTTGCCTTTGCTTCTCACCAGTAGGGCAAAGAGAGGGCTCTCGGATGTATCGGATCACGAGAAACGTGAAGCTCGGACAATCTTCCACAATGCTTGGAGATTGAAATCAACAGTAACCTTGAGTATTCCGGAACTTTTAGCTCTATGCTCTTCCAGAGCTCATGCGACGCAACCGCCTCCTTCCAGTCCCTGCCTAGTATCGACAATCGGCATAGCTCTACCGGGCTCAATCTGCTTTTCGACAGTACTCGACTGATAAGTTCTGGTCCTAGGTCATCCATCCGACCCATCCCTCCCTAAGATGAAACTAAACGGGGCAACCATCTAGACAGTAATTGATCTCTATCGTGCAATAAAAAAGGCATAACTGGCACAAGAACGCCGAAGCGGAGAGCGAAAACCGCTGGCAGACAGAGCAAATGGCCCACCAATGCGTGGAAGAGCTCAAGTGAAATGCTGGTCAGCCAAGTGGGAGAGACACGGGTGGAATTGGTGGCGGCCAGAAATGAAGCTGGAGTGGTTGGTGTGGGTGAAGGGCAGGGCTGGGGGTCGCGCAGCAAGGTGCACCAATGCCTACCTAGGTGGGGTTTGGTCGGGTCCGAGGACCAAGGCTGTGTGGAGCCACGTGGACTTGACCCAGCCTTGGAGTCGGAGGGGGTGCACTTTTGAAACTTCAAATTCAGACAACGTGCGTGTAACATTAAACCAGGAACCAAAAGGTCTGCATATGTTTTAGGTACAACAAGGTTCATCCCATCCCTCCCATTATTTAAAGAATTTAACGTCAATTTTTGCAGAAGAAATACGGTTACGGAGTGAATCTAGATGTTCCAAGTTTTATAAAAGACATTTTCTACTACCGGAAGTACAAAAGATAGGACATAGAGGACGGCACCAATGCTCTCTTGTTCCATGAACCATAAAGGATCACCTTAGAACGGTGTGTCGGAAAGACAAATGTGCAAGGGGCAATGCCTGAAGGACATAAAGGGTCACACACATCCTATGATGGACATAAGGAGAATATGGATTTGAGGACTCTAATGGTCCTGGTTTTGAGTGTGCTGGAAGGAGTATATTAAGGTGGTGAGGGTGCGGTGCTTTGCACTCAGTCTGCAAAGTGCCTTCACGGGTACTTCTTTGCCACATCGCAAAATTGCTGTTCCAGTCGCAATTCTCTAGGGGCGATTGTCCCTAAGCCTCCGTCTCCCTCGTATTTCATGCGACCAAAATCCTAAAGCTGATAAGCCACCACTCCCTAAGTTATTTGTTCCTCCAACCTGGGGGTGGCCAAAATTCCACGAAGCCTTGCTGCGAGGCCTCCAAGCCGGTGCTTCCGTCAAAGGGATTCTCCTGCCTAGGGAAATCACGTCAGTTTTGACGCCGATTATCCAGACAAGCGACGCCCCGTCAAAACGGAACACAAAAGGCTCCACGTTTCACCGTCAGAACGGCGACCCCAAGGCCATCCATCCGCTTGAGCTGTGAGTTCTACTGTAAGTGGTCTGGTGTGGTCTGGTATGTTCTGGTGAGATGTGGTGTGGTGCTGCTGGGGGGTCCTCCTTTCCTCGTGTACTCCATCAGCATCAAGCTGGCTCTGGAAAAAGTGGGTTGCACAACACACCACACCACATCCTTGCCATTGTCAGGATGTGGGTGAGATGGCAGCAACAGCAACAATACAGCACAGCCATGGCTTTCCCCATAAGCTCTGCGGAACTTGCACAGGCATTAGCGACTTAATAATTAAACTGTTCCAATCTCTTGCCTTACTGCCACTCCTCCTCTTCTATATCCCATGAGCTTCTCGACAATCCCACCGATGCGCGGCATTGAGCCATGAGCGGTCCTCATCGAGGTCCCCGATGGACCTCACAAGACGGTAGGCCGCTAGACGGTAGACCGTTAGACGGTAGGCTGGTAGACGGTAGACCGCTTGCTAACGGTCGTTTAGGCGCAGAGCTGTCGCCTCCTCGAGGGCTGCACGCTCGTCTTCCGTCATACGAGGATCAACACGGGCAGGCGGACCAGGCTCAGGCCGCGCAGCAGCCGCTGTACTGGGAGCCGCAGCAACAACAACAGCAACAGCAACCGCAGCAGCGCCAGCTGCAACAATGGCAGGAGCCACCGCAGCGGATGCCGCCGGCGCCAGTGCCGTACGGCCAGCGGCAGCAGCAGCAGCAGCAGCCTCCTCGGTCAGGCCTGAGCACTCGACCGCGGGCGACAGCCAGTGCGTCGTACGAGCAACGGCCGTCGTACGAGCAACGGCCGTCGTACGAGCAACGGCCATCGTACGAGCAACGACCGTCGTACGAGCAACGGCCACCGTACGAGCAACAGCCGTCGTACGATCAACGGCCGTCGTTCGAGCGAAGGCCGTTCTCCGCAGCTCCCGGTTACGGCGCGATGCGCTCGTACAGCACGGATACCCCTCCCGAGGTCTTTAATCCGCGGCCGCTTTCGGCAGCAGCGGCCGTGCCACGTGGCCGGAGCGTGTGCGACGATGACGATAGGTACGGCGGAGACGACGCCACGTCAGCCCGACAACCGGAAGGCCGACCTATAGTTGACCGACCTATAGAAGGTCGACAGACGGGCATTTCTCCCGGATATTCCGCAAACCCTTATCAGGCCCCTTATCCTGCTCCTTATCAGCCCCCTTATCAAGTCCCTTATCAGCAACCGCAGGCGCCTTACCATCACCCACAGCTCAGTCCCCACGGCGGGGATCGCGCGTTGAAAAAGCCTCTTAGCCCCCGGCAGGGGAGGAGCCCTCGAGCCCTCAGCCCCCTCGCCAGCGCGGCCTTTGGAATCCGCGGAGGGTACGGCCTCGCGCCCGGGAGGGGGAGGGAGGAGTCCGCGTACGGGGAAGACGAGGAGGGGGAGGAGGAGGAGGGGCGGGAGCGCAGCTTGCGCGCGGGGATACTGAGAGGCGCGGCGGCGATCCGAGAGCGCCAAGCGGGCTCGTCGGACGACGGCGCGAGCAGCTCGCCCACGTCGATTGGCTCCCCCGGGTTTCTGCCCGGGGGAGGGGGAGGGGGAGGCGGATGGAGCGGCGGAGGCGGGGGGGGCCTAGGCGGCGTGGGAGGATTTGGAGGCGGCGGAGGGGGATCTGAGCCGTCAAATCGACCTAGTACTTCGAGCAGCACCAGCAGCACCATGAGCGGCGGCGGCGGAGGCGGCGGCGGCGGGTTTGGCGGAGCGGGGAGCAGCAGTAGCAGCAGCAGCACGGGAGTGACGGTCATACGCGGGGTGATGGCGGGGGGATCCGTGGGTCGAACGGGGGGGACCACGCTAGCGGGAAAGCAGGTTGTGATTCGGATCCGTCCGAGGGGCGGCTCTATAGACGCGTCTCTCGGAGGGGGTTCTGGCAGCAGCGGTGGCGGCGGCGGCAGTGGCGGCGGCGCTAGCGGGCTAACGGACCTTGGCAGCGCGGCAGCGGGTTTCACGGCGACGGTGACAGCTGTGCTGCCAGCTGGCGCGGGCTCCCCCCAGTCCCCGTCCAGCGCGCGCAGGCGGGAGGCGGGGGGGATGGGCGCACCTGGGGGCGCGGGGTCACCAGTGAGGGCGCTAGAGGCGTTGGGGAGGCACTCCTTTGCGGGGAGTAGCGGGGCAGGGTTCAGTGGTGAGGGTGATGTGCAGAGGGCCGGGTCCGAGGATTCAGCTGCGGAAAACTATTCCCGAGAGTCCAACCTCACTCTTCCTGGTAAGCGGAGCGACGGCTCGGCCGAGCCTAGGCCCAAAGGCATGACGCGGCTAGGCTCGGTGGCGGCTGCCGAAGCAGCGGCTGCTGCGATTGCCGTGGCAGACGCGGCGGCTGTGGCACAAGCAGGCAAGGCGGGCTGGGAGCCGCCGCTAAGCCCCACAGGGGTACCATCCATCCCCCCAGAGGGCCGTTTAAGCAGCGAGGGGGATGTTTTTCTGGAGTACCTTCGCAAGGCGGGGGAGGGCCGGGCGGCGGCGCAGTACGACGTTGCTGTGTGCTATGGGGGAGGGTTTGGCGTGAAGCAGGACAAGTCGCTCGCCACGTACTGGTTCAGGAAGGCGGCAGAGCAAGGGCTGGCGCGCGCGCAGTACGCGCTGGCAGAGTGCTACGAGACAGGGGCTGGGGTGGAGAGGGACGAGGAGGAGGCTTTCCGCTGGTTCTTCCGGGCGGCTAGTTTCGGCAGCGGGAAATACTTAGTTAAGCTCGGGCTGTGCTTCGAGCGTGGGTTCGGCGTGACGGAGTGCCCCGTGGCGGCGCTGTACTGGTACCACAAGGCGGCGGAGCAGGGGCCTAAATTCGCGGCGCAGGTGGAGAAGCGGATGGAGGTGCTGCAGCGGCAGAGGGAGGAGGAGATTATAGGCGCGAGGGGGCAGGACGTGCCGGTGGAGTGCATCTGCCCGCTGACTGGCCGGGTGATGGAGGACCCCGTGGAGCTCCCCGAGACGGGCGTGTGCTGCGAGCGCGAGCAGGTCAAGACGTTCTGGGACCACTGCGAGCTGCGGTGCCCGGTTACCAACCAGGTGGGTTGCTACCAGCCATGTGGATTGCCAGCCTGGTTACCAGCCACGTGGGTTTTCTGTTACGGTCTTGTCCGTTTGAGTTTTTCTCTTTAACTTAAAAATGAAGAAAAGTTGAAAAGTAGCTATTCCTGTTTGTCACTTTTTGTGCATTCGTAAGGGCTGTCTCGACATGCCCACTGCTTTTGTCCCTCGCCCGTCTTTTTCTAATTCCATCTCCCCTGGTTCCGCACACTCTGTACCTTCACTTTTCACGCACCCCTCGCTTCTGTGTCGCCTTTTCTCCCGTCTCACTCCACTTCCCCCACTCCTACCCCCCAGCCTCTCAAGGTAAAGGACATGAAGACAAATTTGGCCATCCGGCGTCGAGTCACCGAGTGGAAGGTAGGGATCACTCAACTCCCAGAACCTCCTCTCTTCGCAATAGTTGGTAGTTGCTCTTTTCCTGCTCTTTTTTTCCTCTCGCTCGCCTCCCTCCCTCATTTCAAGTTACTACTCTTATACCCCCCATGCTTTCACAACCTTCCCATACACCCCCCACTCCCCCCTCGTCCCCCCCTTCCCCTCCCTCTCTCCTCCCCGTCCTCACCCGTCCTTTCCTGGCCGTACGCCCCCATTCGCAGCGCAAGCGGCAGGCGGAGCAGGACGCAGCGCAGGCCTCACTGGTGCCCCGGGCGGCCACCTGCCCTCGGGGCAGCCTGTTCTCAGCCATGAGTTCTCCGCCCGTTCTCAGCCTGTTCTCAGCGATGAATGCTCCCTGGTCCTTTCCCCCACCGTTTCCTGTCCTCCTCCCCCCACTTGCAGCGCAAGCGGCAGGCGGAGCAGGACGCAGCGCAGGCCTCACTGGTGCCCCGGGCGGCCACCTGCCAGCCTGTTCTCAGCCATGAGTGGGGGCAAGGGGGAGAGGAGGGGGAGGAGGAGGGGGCTGATGGGGAGGACGAGGAGGCGGAGGGCGTGAGCGGGAGTGCGTTGCACAAGTGCGTGTCAGAGGGCGTGGGGGTGAGGGGAAAGGGAGTGGGTGGAGAGTGGAAAGAGGGGGAGAGGAGAAAGAGCCGGTTCTCGAGGGATCTTTCCGAGGAAGGGGAGAGGAGCGGGGCGAGTGAGAGCGAGGGGGAAGAGGAGGGGGGGGGGGATGGTCTTGATGGGAGGTCAAGGTCGAGAGGTGGAGGGAATACTCGGAATGAGTATGAAGGGGAGAGGAGGAGAGAGGAGAGGAGAGATAGGCATAGTGATAGTGAGACGGGCTCGTATGTCAGTGATGAGGATTATGACGATGATTATGATGTTGGGGAGGGGCGGAGTTCCCAGGACAAGAAGAAAAGTTATGATGATAAGTATGTTGATGAGGATGAGGATTATACTTCTAGTGAGTACGACAGAAGCGAGGATGGATCGACAGACAGCGAGGGGAACAGGAAGGGGAGCAATCACAGGAGCAGCTTGAGGAAAGGGTCCGGGCGAGGGGATGGCAGTGGGAGGCGGCGAAAGGATGACGATGGGTCGGATTACAGTGGCAGTGACTATAGCCATAGTGACTCTGACGAAGAGGAAGGGGAGGATGGCAAAGGTGGCCGGTTCCGGAGAGAGAAAGGGAGGAGCAGAGGCGCGGGTTCTAGGTCGGGTGGAAGTTCAAACGGGGAGGAAGAGGAGGGGGAGGAGGAAGGGGAGGAGGTGGCGGTTGGGCGGGCCTTGGCCCGGGATTCATCTCATGACGCCTCTCACAGCTACAGCCGAGATGCGTCTCACAGCTACAGCCGAGATGCGTCTCACAGCTACAGCCGTGGGTCGTCCATGGGGTACAGTGAGAGTGTGCCTTCCCACCCGTCCATGCCGCGAGATGAGTCCCGGGACGAGTCTGTGGGGCGCGGAGAGTCGATGGGGCGGGGTGAGTCGATGGGGCGGGATGTGTCGATGAAGCGGGATCAATCTGTGGAGGGGGGTGGGGCTATCAGAAAAGAAGGGTATGTGTCAGGTGAGGAGGAGGGAGAGGGGGCTGGAGTGAGAACAGGAGAGGAGGAAGAGGGCCAGGAGGGAGAATGGAGGGGCGAAGGGGGGCAGAGGGGGGTGGGCAGAGGGGGTGAGGTGAAGGGTGAAGAAGACGAGGGGGTGGGGATCGTGGGGGATGAAGCGAGGGAGCCAGCAGAGGAATTGGAGGCAGAGGAGGAGGAGGAGGAGGAGGAGGAAAGGCGGGACCCCACGGAGCTGCTGCTGGAGGAGCTGGCTCAGGCTGAGCTCGACTACGGCTTCCCTGGAGCCAATGTGAGTGCTCTTAGCACTGGGTGCTAATACGGGTGCTCTTACCCAAGAAAGGTATCGTAGAGGGAGGGGGAGGGAGGCGGGATCCGACGGAGATGCTGCTGGACGATGGCTTCACGGGGCGAATGTGAGTGCTCTTACTACTGGTTGCCCATACCACTTACGCTCGTACCACTAATGTGAGTGTTCTTACCAGTGAGGGTGCGTGCTCTTATCAGCGGGTGATCTTGTAAAGGTATGGCCTTTTTGTGGGTGCTAACGTGAGGATCCGACGCAGGTCAGGCTGAGCTGGACTATGACTTCCCCGGGGCTTGTGAGTGGCTTTATTTATCTGTGGGTGCTGTTTTCAGTGGGTACTCCTACCTATCAGTGGGTGCTGTTTTCAGTGGGTACTATCTGTGGGTGCTGTTTTCAGTGGTTACTCCTATCGACGGGAGCTCTTACCAATGGGTGCTTTTATCAATGGGTGCTCTTATCAATGGGTGCTCTTACCAGTGGGTGCTCTTATCAATGGGTGCTCTTACCAGTGGGTGCTCTTATCAATGGGTGCTCTTACCAGTGGGTGCTCTTATCAATGGGTGCTCTTACCAGTGGGTGCTCTTCTCAATGGGTGCTCTTACCAGTGGGTGCTCTTATCAATGGGTGCTCTTACCAGTGGGTGCTCTTACCAGTAAGTGCATGGAGCCGGAGCAGCTTTGCGCTCAGTGGCTTGTTGTGATTCTCTGTGCTCTGTGCTCTGTGCTCTGTGCATCTCCCCTTCCCCTTTCATTCCCACCCATGCAGGTGAGTCCAAGCACTATGAGTTGCGGGAACAGCAAGGCAATATGTGCGAGCCCTCTCTGCCCCTCTTTTCCCCTGCAACCCCCCTTACATCGCTCCCCTCCTCTCACCCATGCAGGTGAGACCACACACTGTGAGTCGCGGGAACAGCACCATATTCAGTAGTTTTTTCTCTGCCCCTTCCCCCACCTTCCCCCACCTCCCCCCACCTTCCCCCACCTTCCCCCACCTTCCGCCACCTTCCCCCACCTTCCGCCATTTTTCCCCCACCTTCACCCACCTTCCTCCACCTTCCCCCACCCCCCCTCCCTCCATCCGTGCAGGTGAGTCCGCGCACTGTGAGTCGCTGGAACAGCACGAGGGAGGACAGCCTGCAGGCGGTGAAGAGTGTGCTTCTGGAGGTACGAGAGCGGTGCTGGGGGTAAGAGAGCGGTGCTGGGGGTAAGAGAGCGGTGCTGGGGGTAAGCGAATGGTGCTGGAGGTAAGAATGGTGCTGGAGGTGAGTGGGAGCACGATCAGGAGGTAATGGGGAGAGGGGGCAAAAGGTAAGTGGGAGGGCTGTTAGGAGGGAGGAGGGAGGTCAGGCGATAACTGGGAGGGAGGTCAGGCAATAACTGGGAGGGAAGTCAGGCGATAACTGGGAGGGAGGTCAGGCGATAACTGGGAGGAGGGCAGGCAATAACTGGGAGGGAGGTCAGGCAATAACTGGGAGGGAGGTCAGGCAATAACTGGGAGGGAGGTCAGGCAATAACTGGGAGGAGGGCAGGCGGAGCCGCGGAGCCCATCATTGACTGCGGCCCGCATTGGGCTTTAGCCTACCTGGAGGTGCTGCTCTTGACACACTCCAAATCCCCAAGTTCACGCGCCCCCCGCCCCTCCCCCCCCTTTTCCTTCCTCCCAGGCGGAACCCATCATTGACTGCGGCCCACGGTGGGCCTTGGCCCGCTACCTGGAGGTGCTGGAGAAGCTGCTGCTCGTGCAGCGGGAAGCTGCACGGAACCTTCTGGACTCGTGCGAGGTCGGCGCGAGGGGGAGTGCGGAGGAGGGGGAGGTGTGGGAAGCGGTGGAGGCGCTGGAAGGACTGTGTGCGCGGGGCGTGCAGCAGCTGCTGGACGACTTCAAAGCGGCGCTGCTGGCCTGCAGGTACTGTTGTCTCTCAGGTGTGTGTCTGTGGCTCCTTGTGGGTTCTTGGAGTGCGGAGGAGGGGGAGTTGTGGGAGGCTGTGGAGGCGCTGGACGGGCTGTGCACGCGGGGCGTGCAGCAGCTGCTGGACGACTTCAAGGCCGCGCTGCTGGCCTGCAGGTAGGGTGCCCTACCCTAAACCCGAAACCCGAAACCCTTGACATGTCTATGTCTGGGGGTGTTTTCGGGGGGCGTGCAGCTGGTGCAGGATGACTTCAGGGCGGCACTGCTGGCCTGCAGGTACTGTTTCCTCCCATGCCTATGTTTCTGACTGTGCATGCTTTTCAGCGGAGTCAAGAGGGGTTGTGTGCACGGGGCCTGCAGCAGCTGCTGGACGACTTAAAGGCAGCACTGCTGGCCAGCAGGTAGGGTGCCCTACCTAAAATCCTCCCTCTTCTCACTTTCTCTTCCTTCCCTTCCCCCATCCCCGTTACATTCAGCCCCTGGACACAGCAGAGCTACATGCAGCAGCAGCAGCAGCAGGCCTGGCATCCCCTCCTCCCACATTCCCAATGTTCCCCCCATCTGCCCTTTCCCCCTTCCCCTCCCCCATCCCTGTAACAGTCAACCCCTGGACATGGCAGATCTACGCGAGGCAGCAGCAGCGGCAGCCGCAGTGGCCCTCTCCTCCAACCAGGTCGCTGCCCACACGCCCCCCTCTGCCTCTCACTTTCTCTCCCTTCCCCTTCCCCATTCCCGTGCAGCCAACCCCTGGACACAGCAGAGCTTCACGAGGCAGCCGCAGCGGCAGCGGCCCTCTCCTCCCGCTCCTCCTCCTCCGCCCATCAGGTCCCTGCCCACGCACCCCCCTCTGCCTCCCCCTCCACCTCCGCCTCCCCCGCCCCCGCCGTCTCCTCCCTCTCCTCTAAGTCCGGCCCGCTGCCCACAGCAGCAGCTAAAGCCAAGGGGGGCCATGGGCACAAGGGGAGTGCGGGCGCGGGGAAGGACGGGGGTGCAGGAGGGGGGGATGGGGGGAGGCACTCGGCCCCATTCCCCTCGCCTGCCCCTGTTGATAGGCATGGGTCTGCTGGCGGCGCTGGTGCTGGTGGTGCTCGTGCTGGTGCCGGTGCTGGTGCCAGTGGTGGTGATGAGTCAGGGTCGTTAGTAGGTGATACTGGGACTGGCACAGGGACAGGGACAGGAAGCACTGTTCGAAGGAGTGGGAGTGGGAGTGGAGGGGCCGGGGGGAGTGGGAGGGGGAAGGGGAGGGAGAGGGAGAGGGAGGGGAAGTTGGTGCGGCGGCCCACCAAGTGGGCATCGGCGGATAAGGCAGCAGTGGGGCTGCGGCAAGTGGTGCAGGTGCTTGCACGGGCGGGGCACTTCGACCACTGCTTTGACATCTACAGGTGCGTGCGTGGCTGCATTGCAGGTGCGTGTGTGGCTGCATTGCAGGTGCATGGGATTGCAGGTGCGCTGGTTTGGCGGATGCGGGTGTGCGTTTCAAGATGTTTGCCTTGGAGTTTGCTTTGGGGAAGTAGAGAGTCGTTGTGAACAGATGGCGGGAGAGGAAGGAGCTTTTGAGTCGACTCAAAAGAGGAAGGAGGATGGATGCGGCATGATGGGATGTGTTGCCATGTGATGCAATGTGACACATGTCCATGCGATGTGATGCCATGTGTTGCCGTGTGATGCCATGTGTTGCCATGTGATGCCATGTGATGCCTTGTGATGCCATGTGATGCCTTGTGATGCCATGTGATGCCTTGTGATGCCATGTGATGCCATGTGATGCCACGTGATGCCATGTGATGCCACGTGATGATATGTGATGCCATGTGATGCCATGTGATGCCAGGTGATGCCATGTGATGTCACGTGAGCTATGTGATGCCTGTGATGCTATGTGATGCCATGTGATGCAATGTAATGCCATGGAAGGCAGTGTATGAGATCCATCTTCCCCTCTTCCTCCCCCCCCTCCTCCTTTCCACCCTATCAGGTCTGTTCGGGAGGAGTGCGTGCGGGAGACTCTTAAGGCGTTAGAGGTGGAGCCTATAAGGGGTACGGCGCACCTGAACCAGCTACCGTGGCAGCAGCTGCAGCACACCATGACGGACTGGCTCAGGGACTGCCGCCTGCTGGTGAGGGCATGGCTGGGTAGATGGACTTGCTGTGATGCGTGTTGATGTGGTAGCAGCCAAGCATGATGGACAGTGGGTGATGGCAGCCAAGCATGATGGACTGCAGGTGAGTGATGGACGGGGGCACATGTGGCACACCTGACGGACTGGCTCAGGGACTGCTGCCTGCTGGTGAGGGCCGCTTGTGGGGAGGGCTGCTTGTGGGGAGGGCTGCTTGTGGGAAGGCTTTGTGGTGGTCCATCCATGTTGAGAGCACGGTTGTGATGCAATGTCAGCACACTCCTCTCCACCGCACAGCACCACTGTATTTAGTGACGCAATGCCTCTATCAGTCCTCAAACCTGCTCTAAAAGAATTCTCCCCTCTCTTTGGTCTCCCTGAACCCCCCCCCGCTCTCACCTCCCCCACCCCAGTTGCGTACTGTAATGGAAGAGGAATTCTCCCTCGCCACTTCCATCTTCGGCATACTCCACTCCACCACACAGCACCGCACCGCCAGCCGCCGGGAACCTCCCCACACCCATCCGCACCCCTCGCAACCCCCTTCCTTCTCCTCCACCACTGCTACTGCTACCGCCAGCACCGCCTTTTCCAATCCTCGACTCCCCAGCGGCCGCTCTGCCAGCACCCGATCCACAGCCGGCAGGTCCGTGAGGTCCGGGAGCACTAGGGCCTTGAGGCTCGGCGACGAGGCTGCAGCAGACTCGGGGCGGGCAATTTCGCTCAAGATTCTGCGGCAGGCAGGGATGCCGCGGACGCTGTCGACTCTGATGCACAATGCCAACACTATCACGGCTGCCCAGCCCACCCCTGAGAGGGTGTTCCTGCTGCTGGATATGGAGGCCGTTGTGCAGGAGCTCATGCCACAGGTGGGCTGGTGTGGGGGAGAGTATAGGGTTTTATGGTTAAGATTGGGGTTCAGTGCATAGGGTTTCACGGCTGCCCTGGCGACCCCAGAGAGGCTGTTCCTGCTGCTGGATATGGAGGCCGTTGTGGAGGAGCTCATGCCACAGGTGGGCTGGTTCAAGGGGGATCCAGGGTTTTGGGTTTGGGGTTTGAGTCAGGGCAGAATTGGGGTGCCGCGGAGGGCGGAGCCTGTCGACCCTGATGCACAATGCTAACACGATCACGGCCGCCGGCTGCCCAGGCGACCCCTGAGAGTCTGTTCCTGCTGCTGGATATCGCGGCGGTTGTGGAGGAGCTCATGCCACAGGTGGGCTTGGGGTTTTGGGTTGGGGTTTTGGGTCGGGGTTTTGGGCTGAAGTTTTGGGTAGGGGTTTTGAGTTGTGCTTTCGGATGGAGTTTTGGGTTGGGGTTTTGGGCTAGAGTCAGGGCTAGAATTGGTGTTCACGGTTGCCCACGCCGCCCTGTTTCTGCTGCTGGATATGGCGGCTGCTGTGGAGGGGCTCATGCTGCAGGTGGGCTGGCTGGCGGGTGGTGACTCAGGGGGGTGGAGGGACTCACTGCTGCCCAGGCGACCCCGGACAGGCTGTTCTGTTCCTGCTGCTGGATATGGCGGCTGTTGCGGAGGAGCTCATGCCACAGGTGGGTTAATGGGGGGAGGATTCGTCTCTGGGCGCTTATTGGACAGTGAGGGGCTATTGGACAGTGAGGGGCTATTGGACAGTGAGGGGCTATTGGACAGTGAGGGGCTATTGGACAGTGAGGGGCTATTGGACAGTGAGGGGCTATTGGACAGTGAGGGGCTATTGGAGAGTGAGGGGCTATTGGACAGTGAGGGGCTATTGGACAGTGAGGGGCTATTGGACAGTGAGGGGCTATTGGACAGTGAGGGGCTATTGGACAGTGAGGGGCTATTGGACAGTGAGGGGCTATTGGACAGCAGGTGCTCCTCTGCCGATTGGGGCTGCTGGCGGAGTGGATAGAGATGGTGTTAGACGCTCTTCCCCTCCCCCATTGTTTACCAGGTGGAGCGCCTGGTGTGCTGGTCGGATAGCGAGGGGCTTCTGGCAGAGTGGAGAGGGCTGACTCGAGGCATAGCGCGGGCGGTGCTGGGCACGTTCGATGCGCTCACCGCCACGCTGCAGGTGCCGGTGGAGCAGCCTAGGAAGAACAAGTGGTGAGTGGTGCTGGGGGGGGAGGGGGGGTGTTACTAGGGGGGATTCACGTGCAATGGAGGGGGCTGTCTCAAGGCATGGTGAGGGTGGGTGCGCTCACCGCCATGCTGCAGGTGCCCGTGGAGCAGCCCAGGCTGTGCGGTATAGGGTCATGTGGGGCGTAGGATGGTGAGAGCAGCAGGGAAGGACAAATGGTGGGGAGCAAGCATTGGGAAACACACCACCTCTCCCCGCCTTGTGCCTTGTGGCTTGTCCCTTGCGCCTTGTGCCTGGCATGCAGGCGGCTGTTTCGAGGCGAGGGCAGCAGCAGCAGCAGGGAGAGCGGGGGAAGTGGGGGGTACCCGCCAGGATGGGGGGTGGAGAAGAGTGGGGGCGTGCACCCGGTGACCAGCTATGTGGTCAATTACATCGCCACTTACCTTGGCAGGTGTGTAGCTATGTGGTTAAGCCCCCGTCTCATAATTACTAGAGTTTTACACTTGGTCGAAGCAGGCAAACTCGGATTGGTAGGCGAGGTATGAAAAAAATGACGAAAATGAAACGCAAGTGGCGAGACCATTTTGTTTCGGCAAAACACCCGGCCCAAAAACAGGTTTGAGGAAGGTTGGCTTGCGATAGGTTTTGCACATCAATCTGGAGGTTCGTTTGACATTGGACGGTGCAGAATCCAATCTTCCTGCACAACCAATTTCCACTTCGTTTTCAGCGGTAGATTTAGTCTTCCACTCCCTGAACCGTCGGATCCGAACTTCTAGACGATCGAATGGTCCAGCGTCCCTGTTTTTCCGTGAAGTTGCTCATTCTCATATTTTCACTGCTGGTTGTACGATTTGTCTCGCCCCCCAGCAAGAAGCACACTGTCCTCCGAGGCATTTCCTTGCCTGTCCTGGGATCCCTTCATACTCGCCAGCGTAACTGAACTGGCTACCAAGCTTTTTGCACTTGGTCGGATCCCAGAATTATGGGATTCGGGCTTTAAATGGTGGGGTCACCAGGCTCCAGCTATGTGGTCAGTTGTATCGCCACGTACCTGGACATGTTTGTAATCGGGTGGATAAGAGAGGAAGCGTGCACCTGGTGACCAGCTATGTGGTCAATTTCATCGCCGCTATCCCGGGGTGATGTGTAACCACATAGCTAGGGACAGAGTAAGAGGGATGCACCCTGTGATTCGTACATGGTCAGCTATGTGGCCCAGTGTTCCTACCCGCTTACTTGGGTAGGTGTGAAGCATGCAAGTTGCAACCCTGTGCTAAGGTAATGCAGTGCATGCACCCAGTGACCAGCTATGTGGTCAGCTACATCGCCCCTTGCCTTGGCAGGTGTGAACCATGTGACCATGTGTGTAACACTGTAACTCTCCCTCAGACCGTTCATTCCCCTCACCCCTTGCAGGAACGCCACGTCATCGCAGGCATACACACACGCATGCTGGTGAGGCAGCTGGGGACACTCGCTACAGCAGTGGACAGGCTAACATCGCATCCCTTCCCTTCACCTCATGCCTCACAGGAGAACCACGTCTCTTCGCTGGCGTACGGATACGGCAGAATGCTGGAGAGACGGTGAACTGAGCGCTGGAGACACTCTCGACAGCAGCGGGCTGTCTAACTCATCATCCCTTCCCTTTGCCCCTCGCAGGAGCGCCACGTCGTCGCGGGCATACGGGTACGGCACCATGTTGGAGAAACTGCTGGAGACGCACGGGCAGGGGAGGACCATGGAGGAAGAGACGATGAAGGTGAGGGGGTCACGGCACGGGCGGGGAGGGGAGGGGAGGAGACCCCGAGAGCGTGAGGATGAAGGTGAGGGGGTCACGGCACGGGTGGGGAGGGGAGGGGAGGAGACCCCGAGAGCGTGAGGATGAAGGTGAGGGGGTCACGGCACGGGTGGGGAGGGGAGGGGAGGAGACCCCGAGAGCGTGACTTCAGTCTTTTGAGAATTCTAAAAAACATAACACAGTCTGTTGCCAACGTCTGGTTCGTAACAAGCTTTGCCTCTTGTCAATGAGTTGTTCAACGAGGTTTTTCATTCGTCAACAGGGCGCTGCATGTAATGAACTGCTGCGGGCAACGCAACGTCCTTAGGTGATTTTTGAGTCGACTTAAAAATCACCTGCGGGCAACGCAACGTCCTTAATGAACTGCTGCGGGCAACGCAACCACTCCCCTCGCCTCCACTCCCCTCCGCTCCCCACCCCCCCCTCCCCTCCCATCCTCCCATTCACGGCTGCACCAGGAGGGTAGAGCCGCCATGTGAATCATGGGCTTTAAGGCCTCCACTCCTACAGCACTCCCCCTCTTCCCCTCCCCTCCCCTCCCCTTTACCCCCCATCCAGGTCATATCTGCGCTGGTGCGCAACATGGAGGCATGCGCCGCTGCCACGTGCAACATGGGCTTTAAGGTGTCCGTCAAGCACCTCCACTTTACCCCCCCCCCCCAGGTCATATCTGCGCTGGTGCGCAACATGGAGGCGCGCGCCGCCACGTGCAACAACCCTCTGCTCAAGTCTCTCTTCCTCGTCAACAACATCCTCTACATTGGCCGGTGCGCTACACGTTTTGGCATCTTCCATTTCCTCTGTATGTTGCCTCCTTTATATTGGCCGGTGGGTCACGTGCTCTATCTTGTGGTTAGCATTCTTGACATTAGCCCCGTGATAAAAGTTCCTTGTCAAATTCCTACCCACTCTCTCTCCACTTGTTTCTTTCCCCCCCTCCCTCCTCCTCCCACCTCTGTTCTCCTCTCTGGGCAGGTTGAGTGAAAAGATTCACCTGCCCTTGGAGCATCAGCAGCTGCTGGAGGCCCAATCAAAGGCCTTCAGAGAAGCCGGTCTGCAGAAGGTAAGCGGATGGTGCTGTGGCGCGTGCTACAGTGTGGCACGTGCTACAGTGGAGCAAGCGCTTCGGTCTATTATGTGTTAGTGCCATTAGTTACAGGGGATCGTGTAACAGTGTACCATAGGTTACAGTGTACAATCTGTTAGATTGTAGCCCGCTAGGCTAGGTTGCATTTAGGTGTACACCCATGTCGGATGTACACATTGTGCTTGGGGTGTCAATCCAACCGAGCACCAAGGCCACAATTGTTGGTGATCAATTGTGATGGGTCAATCTCATTCCCAATTGGCACCAATGGTGGTTGAGCATCCCAACCACTTTTGGCTTCCCCCAACAAGCAGTTGGGAAGCCCAGTTACCATTGGGGTTTCCCAACTCCTATTGGTCCATTTTCCCTTCCCCTCTCCAGCTTCTCTTGCATCCTATGTATGCTCGCTCTTCCACTACTAATAACAACTTTCCAGTTTCTTAATTAGTCCTTTGTATCATTTTTTTCCACCATAGGTTATAGCGCATCATTCCCCTTTTCTCTCCTTCTGGTCCATCCCTGCCATATCCCCTCTTCCCTCACTTCCCTCTCTGCCTCTCCTCCCCTCCGACTGTCTGCTTGCCTTTATCATTGCAGGTGGCAGCGTCGTTGGGCCCTCAAGGGTGGAGCACTTCCGTGGAGCCCAACGAAGTCAACGACGGTCTTGGCGCGTCAAACTATTCTCTCCTCTTTCCTCTCTGCCTCGCCTTCCCTGCGCTCCGCCTGTCTGCTTGCCTTTATCATTGCAGGTGGCAGCGTCATTGGGCCCTCGAGGGAGAAGCGCTGCCATGGAGCCCAACGAAGTCAATCGACGGTGAGTGCTGCTAAGTCGTCTCAAAAGGATCTTAAGTCAACTGACGGTGAGTGCTGAGTCGTCTAAAAAGGATCGTAAGTCAACCGATGGTGAGGCTAGTGAGCACTAGTCAACCAAAGTCAACAGGGGCTTGGTTACAACAGAGGGCTAGTCAAAGTGAGTCAACAGACCCACCTGAAGCCGGCGGTGCAACGCTGTGCTTGCTGCCGCTTGGGGCGGAAGTATTTTGAGTCTACTCAAAATACACCTGGCTTGGTTACAACAGAGGGTGAGATCGAATTCTGAAGTTGGGCCGACGACGAAGTTTTCCCTTCGGCACCAAGTTTTCCCATGCGACTCAGGAAACTGTGGTGGATACCATCCTTGCTGCGAAACGCTCGCGATAAGGCTTGCGAAAACAAGCCGCGAAAATGCGACCTGCAAAACTTCACGGCCAACTGGGAAGCGCGCACAACGGGCTGCGACCCATAGGCGACCTGAAAAATGTACCGGATGCGCATCTGCAACCTGTCGGTCGAAATTTGCAACAACACTGGTACAAAACAACCCGCCAAGAGCCCCAAAACATACCAAACGCGCGCAGAGCCGTAAATCGTCGAGTGCCACTTCTCCTACCCAATTCGACAACCTTTCGTACAGACGAACAAGCAATACAAAAAGGCGTTTAGCAGACTACGACTGCAGCATGACTACTTCTAATTTCTGAAAACAAGCTACAGGTTCCTCCCCGCTGCATTCCTACACCATGGGGCGGAAAAACAAGGGCCAGACAGAGAAACGCAAGGGAATCTCGGAGGTCGAGGCGGCACCGCGCCCGACACCACCCTTTCTCCAGTACCTGACGGATCTCGAAGCAAATGGCATCAAGCGGATCCGCCTAGTCGGCGTCACGGACTTGCCCGCTAGGAGAGGAGGGAAACGGAAGAATGGGCTTGCTGCGTCGACGAGTGGCCATGGCAACGACGGCGCGGGCGAATACGGCTGCGGGTCCGAGCTCGATGCGGACACTATCAACCCCGAAGACGAGCGCTATTGTGACTCCGACGGCTACACCGCTGCCGACCAAGTGGACGACGATGGCGACGAGGACACCGAAACACCTGCAGACGGTGCAAACAGGAGGGGCAAGGGGAAGGTGTCCGGCGCGAGACAAGCGAGTCGATATTGGGAGGAGGACGAGCTTGCAGAGCTTGCGGCGGCAATGTGGGCAGCGAAAGAAGACTTCGACACGCTGAGGGGCAAGCAGGGAGGGCAGCCATGGAAGAAGCTACGCCGCGTGCTGCGCGAGGCGAATCCCAACTGGTGCCGTCCTAGTTACGCAATGCAGAAATGTTGGGCGCGCCTCAAGAGTCGACTGGATGAAATCGAGGAGGCAGATTCCAAGTCCGGTAACAACCCGATGCCCAAGCCGGAGTGGTACCAGCATGCATGGAATTACTGGAATACCGACCCTTGAATCCCCATGTCGTCGACGAAGGTGGTGCGCGCACTGAGCACGCGACGCCGCGGACCGCGCACGGCACGCGGTCCGCACCTTCTACCGCACCCCCCGGAACTACCGCACCAGGTACGGAAACCCCACACAAAACCAATGTACGGGAACTCCGAGTCATTGAACAAACTTTCAATCACGCACTCAAGACACGGGGCCTTATTACAGAGCAGGGCGCAAACGAACGTTGAGACATAACCTCAACTAACCCACACTACCCCAACTCCCACACTCCCATCAGGCTCTACGGTTTCACCTGGAAACATCGCGCAAAATAGTCACGCCGTGGAGCCGCCGAGAAACGACGGTCATCAGGTCGTAGCCGATACGCTCACCCGTGTGATGGAAGAGCGTACAGCGCGCCAAGAAGTCGTCATGGGGAAGCTCGTTTCTGTTCTGGAGCTCCTCACCCAGGCGGCCGGAGCCGCGCCAGCACCTGTCCCACTGCGGGCTCCAACGGCTGGAACCCGCACTGGGACAGCCTTGCCTGGTGGCCGTCACATCGACGGAAGCACCATGCCATCTGGATTTCAACATGGTGCGCCACACGGTGGCGGCTTTGCTTAAGTGTACCCTGCATGGTTTCCATCCGGTGGCTCGCCGAAACGTGACGTCAGTGCGGTTCCTCCGCAGAATGCGCCAATTCGCGCATCGGTCCTCCCGTTTCCCGCTCCCGATGCTGTACATGTCGCGCACGTCGCGGCGCCAGCACACTCTACGGACGAGGGTGGCGGGCCGGCGCACCAATCGCACCTTGATTCCGCGCCGGCGGCACGCACGACCGCGACGGTTGTCATGGGGGCAGATGGAAATTGGTATTTCACTGCCCCCCCATTTGATGGCCATCTTCACCATGCCGCATGAGCCATGCGGCATGGATGTGTGTGCCGAAGTCCCGGCGACGCGCGACCACTGCCTCGCGGTTGGGCGCAGGAGTGGGCTGCCATACGTACTCCGCCATACCCCGCCTCTCCCACCACCTGTTCAATTCTCTAGCCGTGCCATCTCTCCACTGTCCGCGTGATTGTCTTTTAGCGGAGGCTTGGTACTCTATCATGTTATGTAGTACCACTGCACATCCAGCTCCCGCGCACACCCGCCAAAGCCGCCCCCCGTGACATCCTCCGAAGATCCGAAATCTGTTTTTGAATAACCCCATGGTCCGCTCCACTGCCATCCGCGTTGATGATTGCACGTAATTAAAACTCTGCTCCCATCCTAGCAATATTCTAGCCTTGCTTGCGTGTATCGGAACTAAACAGAAATCCTTCAAAGGGTATGCCGCGTCACCCAACACTTGGTATGGCATGATCTCGCCATTTTCCATGCGTGCATAAAGAGCACTCTTGGTAAAGACCCTTGCATCGTGTGCGGACCCTGGCCATCCGACGACGTAGTCCCAAATACGGCACTTGGAGTCCACGGTCAACTGTAATTGCACGGAGTACATTTGTTTCCGACAATAGTACTCCGAGCGCCATTCGTGGATGCCGAGGACTTGTAAGTGCGTGCCGTCTACAGCCCCTATGACGTTGGGTATCCCTCTGCAGGCGCGGAAATCCAGCGCCATCTCGGCCATTTCTTCTCGTGATGGGAATTGAACCCAAGCTTCTTTGTAACGTTTCGGGAAAGAAAGTAGGAAGCGGTCAACGATGCAGTGACAAACTGTCTTCGGCACCCCGAAGTAAAGACTCATATCCAGATAGGTCATCCCCGTCGCTAAATACTTTATCGGTATCAGAATACACAGTGGTAAAGGCACGCCATGAGAGACGATGATGTTGTGGTAATCATTTGCCATGCCCTCCTTCAAGTGTTCTAGTATGTCTCGGTCGATTCGGAAAAGGTCCTCAAACTCAGCATCGTCGAAATCGTCGATGCGGTCCAGCCACCACTGGATCCGCTCACGTCTGTACTCTGCATAGCGCTTATGGCGAGCGCGTCGGGTCTCCGCGCGTTTAAGCGCATATTCCACGCCGATCGCATCGAGGGCTTCCACTACGAGCTGAGCTACAATTATGTCTGTGACATCGTCGTCGAGGCGCTGCCATTCCATGAACGCGGCTACTGCTGCTGCGGCGGTTGCCAGAGTGTGAGCCATGGCGGAATAGGACCTTCGAACCTGCACTGCTAAACTGTACCCAACGCGTTGCGATGTTGCTGTTATATGGCTAAAGAGGCGATATTGGGGTCCAGAAAGTTCTGCCCGTTATTCGTTTCGTGCCTCGTTTGTTTGTGTGCTGTTACGGGCAGCTGATGCGGTAACCGTGCCACTGGGCCGTCTGTTTTGCAAACGTGGCTCACGTTCAGTCGAGGCGCATTCACCCACAGTACCAATTTTCGCCGGACGTGTTGATCGCGTTGGTCGTGCGCCCACGTCGCAGGGCACGTTGGCGAAACTTTTGGTTTCGGCAAAAGCCGAAGCGCACAGCCCAACATTGCATTCCCAATTTTAGACATTTCGAGCCGCATGGGAAAACTTTGCTCGTCGGCCCAACTTCAGAATACGATCTGAGTCAACAGACCCACCTGAAGCCGGCAGTGCAACACTGTGCTTGCTGCCACTTGGGCGGAAGTATTTTGAGTCGACTCAAAATACACCTGGCTTGGTTACAACAGAGGGTGAATCAACAGACCCACCTGAAGCTGGCGGTGCAACGCTGTGCTTGCTGCCGCTTGGGACGGAAGGAACGGACGGAAGGCGCAGGAATCAGTGGGAAGTGTGTGAGCGTGTGCAGTGTGTAGTGTAGGCATATTGTACCTAGCAGAACCGTTGAGGACCCCTTGCCTGGTGCAGCCGGCATCGGTTAACAGAACTGTTGAGGACCTAGCATTGGAGCAGAAGGGCCTTAAAGATGTCTCGAGCAACCTCCACCCTCCGCCCCCCTCTCTCTGCCTTCCCTGTGCAGCCTGCACCGGTTCGACATCGCCTTTGAGGACCTGGCGTCAGAGAAGAACGACCTTAGAGATGTACCCCCCCCCCCCCCCCCCCGCCCCCCTCTCTCTGCCTTGCCTGTGCAGCCTGCACCGCTTCAACATCGCCTTTGAGGACCTGGCGCTGGAGCAGAAGGACTGGGTCATCTGCGATGGCGCGTGGCGCAAGACCACGGTGCAGGAGTGGGCAGCGCACCTGAAGCAGATCTACGAGGAGTTCCTGGAGCCGCACAGGTGAGGTGTTTGAGGCTTGCAGTTGAGGTACGTTCAAGGTTCATGGGTGAGGCACAGCGCAAGACCACGGTGCAGGGGTGGGCAGCGCACCTGAAGGAAATCTACGAGGAGTTCCTGGAGCCGCACAGGTGAGGTTCTCAAGCCCTATGGCAGTTAGAGTCGCTCAGGTGATCATAAGGTGCCTCAAAGCGTTTGAAGCAGATGCATGAGGAGTTCTTGGAGCCACATTAGTGCGGATGCATGGTTAAATAGGTTAGTTTTGAGATGTCTCAAAACTGACCTACTTTTGAGATGTCTAATAAGTAACCTACTTAACCATGAGGAGTTCTTGGAGCCACATCAGTGCAGATGCATGAGGAGCTCTTAGAGCCAAGTAGGTGGATGTTACCCACCACACCATTTGCCCCCTCCTGTTGCCAACCCCTCTTCCCCCGCCCTCGTCCCTCTCTCCTTGCAGTGAGTGCATGGGCACTCTATCCTCCTATCACTGGCAGGCAGGCATTAAGGACCGACTCAACACACACCTTCTGACCATACCCCTCTGCCATACCACAACCGCTTACCCTCACACCATGCCCTCTTCCTTCTCTCCCTGCAGTGCCTACATGAGCACTCTCTCCTCGCACCAGTGGGTGACAGACGCGATGAATCAGTCAATCCAAACACACTCTCCAACCATGTGTTCTTCCCTTTCACCACTCCCTCTTCCCCTTCCTCTTCCCTCACCCCTACCCTCCTCTTCCGTGCCCTTCCCCTGCAGTGAGTACATGAGCACTCTCTCCTCGTACCACTGGGAGGCGGATGCCATGGAGCGACTCGTGCTCAAGTCCTTCTTTGCCACCTCAAGATGACACCCTCTTGCGGGCGGCGAGAACGCCTTGTTGAGAGGGAATAACACTTAGCCGGGCAGCGAAAACACCTTGCATTGTTAATGCTGTGCGGGCAGTGATAAGCGTTCTTGCGAAAATTGGCTGGTAGCAACCCGCAAGCCCGCATTATTCTGCGCTTGCTTTGCATGCGCAGCTTACGGTATGGATAAGGGTTTCACTGTTGCGGTGATACGGACGAGCCTCCTGGTGTCAGCAAAGTCGATAGCTTCCTGGCAATATGGAATGATGAAAGGTGGGCAATCAATGCTGGAACTGGCGGGTTCTCTTCACCCTCCTTGGTTTCGATTGCCGAATCGTCGGTCCTTAGAGTGCCACGGATCCAACCCTTTCTATGAAATGCTAGAGGAATTACTGCAGGTCAAAAAGTACAGGATGGTAGTTAGCAGCTCAGGCTGTAATGATTATCTCCGTAACGTTTGGAGTTTGAATACCAGTTAGCAGTGAGAAATTGTTTTCACAGCTTGATATATTCAGGTGCCGTTCCATGTCGGTGGAATTGTCGGTGCCTGTGACCGTTGCCCTTCGTGCCGCCCTGGACTGACTGAGGCCCAAATAGTATCACGAACCTGTCTGTAGCTTCGGCATGGCTCAGGCCAGGTGTTCTCCGTGTTTGTTGCGACAGCGAGCGAACAGCAGCCATCCAATTAATTGCTATGCGATTCGTGGAACATGTTTCGCCCCACATTGTACACTTTAGTGATCGCTGTTGTCTGCGATCTCAACAGCCACCTCGCGTTGTGGCGGCATTGAGAAAACACTCTTCTATATGTGTTGTCCTGACAGAACTTGATCATACGCTATAGCGCTACATTTATAGTTATTGTTGTTGATTCTCTGCTTGATATGTGGAGGATTGCTTCCCAAAAGCAGGAATCTGCTAGTTTTGTGATGCAACAGTTGTCTGTTCCAACAAGGTGCTGACAAACGATGAAGCGTACCGGCGTAATGAACCGATTACTGAGGGAAAAGTGTATCTCCAAACCGCAGCCACGGCAGCCGCTTTAGGGCGTTCCTGACCAGGGGCTCTAAGCCAGCCGAGGTAGGGGAGCCTTTTCCGTGTTTGGCACCCGAGGCACAGGTCCGGGCCGGAGCCCATTCCCCTCCCCCCGTCCAAACCAGGCCATGTGCCATGCTTGGGCGCGGACGAGCACAGCACACTCCAGCAGGGAGGCAGGGCTGGAAGGCAGGCAAGAAAGGCAGACAAGGCGGGGTGAGCTGGGGGAGTGAGGGCGTGGAACAGTCAGTTCTGGACCGCTGCTAAAATTACTGTACCGTACTGAGTGCATCGCTCGTCGACTCGCTGCCTGCCAGCCCCACTTCCCACTTCTCAAACAAGTGTCGGTTCGAAGTCTTCCAACCTTCAGTTCACGGAGGTTTTCTGAACTGGAAGGGAGTCTCGCTTCTCACTTCCAGCTCACGATTTTTTTCCCAGGCTCCTCGTTGCTAGTGCCATGGCGCAGGCTACCGTGCTCTTGACCCTCCTGCTTGTCCTCGTCTGTAAGTAAAGCGGCTTGCGTACTTATCTGTCCCAATGCTTTTTGTTCCCCCCGTAGTTTACGAGCACAGCGCTTACAGCACACAGTCCAGCTTTCGTCGGAATGCTTGCCCATTTTTATTCTGAATTCGCCAAAGAAGGCTTTGAATTCGAAACTTCTCGCTCCCAACCCATGCTCGGGATTATCTTATGGAATGTGATTTTGCCCTCTAACTCTTTTCCGATCGTTCTCTGCCGTGTTATAGCATCCAGCTTCCGCTCCTTCTCCTTCCCCACGCTCGTGATAATCCTTCCTCTGGCTTCTTTTCCGCCGACCCCTGCCTTTTCCCCAATCCCCGTTTTATCTCAAATATGATTTCCGCAAACTGTCGTCATTTCCGCCTGTCTTCTGCGCAGGCTTCTACCATGCTGAGGTACGCCTTTCCACCCACTCGTTAAATCCTCATAAATTCTTAAATGTAACCGGTACTGCTTGTTTCGTTTAACGCGTTTCAATCATATCTGACGACCCAAGCCCGAAGTTAGCGCTACTATGAATCCATCCTAGGAAGGCTTCGTTGCCAGCAGTCATCTGGTGTCAACAGCGTCAGTACACGTAACTTGCGAGCCGACTTTTGAGTCGACTCTAAAGTCAGCTTTTGTCCATTGAGCAGAGTCAGTACTAGACGCAACTTGCGAGCCGCTTTTTTCGCACGCTTGTATACCACTTCCTGTCGCGCTACTCCCTATGCTGAGTTAAATCCCCCTTATTTGTCCATGGACGCACATCTGTTGGTTTTTGAGTCGACTCAAAAGTAAATCCCCCCTATTTGTCCATGGACGCACATCTGTTGGTTCGTGGCTGCAGGGCAAGGTGGTGGTGGTGGGCGGATGGAAGAAGGCGAGTCCGTGGCAGTACAACGTCATCAACTGGAAGCAAAAAATCGTCCGCGCTGGAGACGTCCTCGGTAAGCGGCGCAAAGGGTGTGGCAAAAATGGTGTAGAGTCGGCGAGACTGGAATCGGCGTGGCCGCTCATGCTACCATGCTGCGTTTTTTCAATCAGCAAGCAGTGACGACTGGTGCCCGTGACGCTCTCACTCGTGCCATGTGTGACGCTCGGACTCGTGCCATGTGCGACTCCAGTGGTTAGTCCCCCTCTCCTCCTCTCCTCCTCTCCCACCCGTTCTCCCCTCTCCCCATTCTCCCCCACGCACTCCCCTCGCCTCCCCCCCACTCCAGTGTTCCGGTGGAGGTTCCTTCCCCATGACGTGTGGATCATGAACACCAAGGATGCCTACACCAACTGCGACTTCTCCGCTGCCACCAAGAAGACCGGCATCACTGTGGTTGGCACGTACAGGTGCGCTGCGCTGCTCTCTGTGCTCCTGCTTACCTATATGATTGCATGCAAGCGGGTGTGGTTGTCGTTTCCTCGTCAGGACGCACGCGCAGTGAACCGTTTAGTGCACAGGTGGCGAGTGACAAGTCAATTAGAGGGGCAACCGGGCGAAAAGTTCCTGGCATGTGCACTCTCTCACGAGTGTTTCCTTTTATGTGTATGCGTGTATGGTTCCTTGTGTGTATGTGTGCATATACGCATTTGGATGTGCGTGTGTGGTGTGTGCTTGTGTTAAATGCTGGTGCATGTCTGCATGGGCAGGTACAAAGTGCCAACTTCAGCAGCAGGAACTACGATGTACTTTGGCTGTAGTGTACCAGGCCATTGCACTACAGGGAAGATGAAAGTTGCTATTAAAATCAGTGCTTAACTGAATACGTCTCCTTGCTCGCATCACAGCCTAGCAGTGCGAGTGTCTGCTGATGTTCGCAGCACGATGCTAGTCATGATGCTAGAATGCTAGATATGCTAGTTTGTAGTCAAACTCTTCAAAAAGTCTCATCTTGAAGGTGTTTCAAAACATGTACCGTATCATATTTCTATTTTAACCCGTCGTAACAGGATGACTGATTCCGCTACCAGGTCAAGCCCCCCAGCAACACCTACCATAGGCAGAATGTCGGCGACATAGAACAAGGCCAGACTGGGGCATTCTGCCGTCTTTACAGCCATGCGGCATGCATGCTGGCCCCCACAGCCACGCCTTTCTCGGCGCTAGCGGGCTCCCGCGATTCGCGGTGCTGCTGGACGGCGCGGGCGAGCTGCTCATGCCGGAAAGAGGTCGCAGCCAGCCTGCCACGTGTCATGCATACGGTTCCATGGCGGCTTCTGGGCCAGCACCAGCCTGCCTTGGACTCCCCCTAATAAGCCCTCGCCGTCCACGCGGCCAGACCTCCACGAGATACCGCGTCTGCTTCTTGAGCGCGGATTTGAGCGCGGCCCCCGAGTGTTTGGGACGCACTCCGCACCGTGACACGAGTAGTACCGTGACGCAAGCCGCACCGTGACGCAAGCCGCGGCGTACTGTGCTACAAGCAACGCAGCGGCTCTCCAAGAGGCTTTGAGCCATGGCTGGTGCCGACAAGAGGCGTCGATGTCCGCTGGACGCGGCATGTGTGCTTGCGACCGACAGATGGACCGACCCCAGACCCCAGGCGTCCGCACCGCCACCGTCGACCGACCCTCCTTCCCCAGACCCCAGGGTTCAAACCAGCAGTTGCCGGCTATCCGCAGCGAGGTGACTCTTGAGTCGATTCAGAAGCCAGAGCTAGTATCTGCGTCAGTGCGCTACTGGTGAGTGCGCCGCGGCTATTTGAGTCGCTTTGCTGCGCGCTTTCTTCTACACAAGCTCGCGCGCTTACCTTAAGAGATCTTTCAAGTTCCTCAGTCGTTGGCGTTGACGTTCCGCTGAAGCATTCACCCGCTCGTAGCCACACACTAGTACCGCGGAGGTCTCAAACTCTCGCTTACCTCTCACCGACTGCGACTCGGACTCGGACTCGCCAAAAACTCTTGGTTTGGTTGCGGCCAGTAGCGCTGCGCGTCCCGTCTTGCGTTTACCACGACTGCCAGTGGCCGCCATGGCGAGGCTCAATCCGCTCCACGCGCTGGCGCTGCTCGCGCTGCTGTGTAAGACCGTGGGGGTCTCAGGCCCCGACCCTGTTTAATAGTCGTGAGACCACTGGGTACTGTGGGTACTGCCAGTGGCTTCTCTTACCTTCTTTCCTTTGCCACCCTTCCCCTTCCCCTTCCCCTTCCCCTTCCCCTTCCCCTTCGCCTTCTCCTTCTCCTTCTAGTCAGGCACTCCTTCGCCCCATTCTCCACACCCCCTTAACCCCCACCCCCGGCTGCCCTCTCTTTCTTACTCGCTCTCCTCCTTTCCTCCCTCCCTCGATCCCTCCTCCCACTCTCGTTCCCTCTCCCACCCTGCTACTTTCTCACCTTCTCCCACGGGACTCACTCTTTCTCACCTTCTCCCACGGGACTCACTCTTTCTCACCTTCTCCCACGAGACTCACTCTTTCTCACCTTCTCCCACCGACTCACTCTTTCTCAACGGAATTTCCTTTCCTCTCTCCTCCCGTTCCCCTCTCGAGGTGACTTTTGAGGTGACTTTTGAGTCGACTCAAAAGTCACCACGGACTCACTCTTTCTCAACGGAATTTCCTTTCCTCTCTCCTCCCGTTTCCCTCTGGTCTCTCTTTGCATTGTCCCCTCCCTCGCAGCCATCCATCGCTGGGTCGCACCCCACCACAGTCATGGTGGGCAACTTTTGAGGCGCCTCAAAAGAGGCACCCCGTGACAGTCATGGTGGGCAACGGCTGGTTCACCTCTTCCGGCGTCTCATAAAACGCATTCCACGTGTCCCCCTCTCCTCTCTTGTTACATCCCCCCCGCTCTCGCAGTCGTCGCTGGCGCGCACGCCAGGACAGTCACGGTGGGCAAGGGCTGGTTCAGCCCGTGGTCTTACGGCGTCGCTTCCTGGAAGCCTCCCACCGTGAAGACAGGGGACGTTCTTTGTGAGTCTGGTGGATTGCTGCACGTACGTGCGCTTAGCTGTGACTGTACTGCATGACAGTGTTGCATGAGTCTCGCAATGATGGCTTGTGCAATGTGCAGTTCAGAGAGCACGTTTCTCCTCCTCTTCCAGTCCCCCTTGTTGCGCTGATGATGCCCCTTTTTTCCATCTTACCTCTTTCGCTCTTTCTTCTCCCCTTCCCCCAGTGTTCCGCTGAGACTTACTTGCGGATGACGTGTGACCTTCTGTGAATCCCCTTTCTTACTGAATCTCCACCCTTTCCACCCCTTGCCCCACTCCCCACTCCCCACTCCCCACTCTCCAGTGTTCCGCTGGCGCTTTGCCGCGCATGATGTGTGGCGCCTCAAGGACCTGCCTGCGTACAACAACTGCACCTTTGTGGGCGGCAAGAAGCTCACTGCCATCCGCACGTCCTACAGCTATAGGTGCGTTCTTGGTTTGGTTGCTCTGTGCACGGTGCCTACCCTACATAAACTATACTAATATATATCGTATGCATATAGTGCTGTGATCTTGATCTGATTGTATATCTTTTGCATTGCAGACCAGCACCCTTGCCTGCCGTGGTTGCAACAGCTGCCCTCTCATCCATATGATTTGAAATGTGTTTCAAATTTCAGAGCGGTTGGTTCCAGCATGCTTCTGAGGAAACCTGCTCCTTGTGTGAACCTTTATGTGATGTGGCTGCGTGCTACTATCGCATGCGCCTCAAAATAGACCCGGTGCATGAACCTTAATGTGATGCGGCTACGTGCTACCACCGCGCGAATCAACATGCGGTGTGGTTGTATCCTTGTGTGTGAAATCATTGCCTTACCCATCCATCAGGTTCAAGGTGCCTCTGTCAGCAGCGGGCAGAACGCTATTTTTCGCCTGCAGCGTGCCGTCGCACTGCAGTGTGTTCCGAATGAAGACCAAGATCTCCATCTCGCTCTAAAGTGTCTTTCCAGACGCCTTAGGAGTCGTCTGCAGCTCTCTTTGCAGCGCGTTCAGAATGAAGAGCCAGATCCAGGTCTCGCTCTAAAGTGCCTTGACAGGCGCCTCAGGAGTCGCCTGCAGTGGGCCAGTGCGGCGTTGATGAAGACCCCAAAATCACCGTCTCGCCCTAGAAGACTGCACCCCGTCACAGAACCTGCACTGTCTCCTCCTGGCGCCTGCAGTGTTTCCTCGGCTGCAGAGTGCCATGCCGTCCCACTGCAGCACAGTCAGAATAAAGGCCAAGTTTCCATCTTGCCCTGCACTCACTCTATGCAACTCCTTTCGCTCCTTTTGCTTTTACCCGTGTCGCTACGTTCCTTTGTATGGCTCCTTGGCCTTCCTCTCTCCACTCCACTCCTCCGCGGCCTTTGAAGGCTGAGCAGTGAGCACCGTTCGTGTGGGCCTGGTTTACCACGATCCACGGCCTCACACTTGGCTTTCTCCCTATCTGTTGACATCTTACTTCATTTCCCAGATCGTTTGCCCCTTCACTTCTGAGCAGTTGGATGGCATCTTTCTAAAATGTAGTGCTAGCCTCTTGCTGTACAAACCTGCAAACACATGTAATACTGTATACCCCTTTACTGCAGCATAATAACCTTGATATCACTTTGGTATGGTAAGCTGATGTACGGTAGCAAGCAAGACACTTGAAGCGGGACCAGGAACCTTAGTAGCTGACAGCTGTGTTAACATTCATATATATTTGTGGTTGAAATATATGAACTATAGCCTTGCTAGGGTTCAGTTTATGTAGGGTATTATTAACACTTATATTTAGGTTTCTGTTTTGCCTTCCCTACCTGCAACCTGCAGCTGGTGGTTCCCCACAGCCCGCTACCACCGCCGTCCCCCCCCCCCTCCCCCTTCCTGCCGACCGCTCGCTACTCGCTGCTCGCAACTAGCTGCCGCCAGCTCGCCACCGCCAGCAGCTCCCTAACCACTGCCAGCTCGCCGCCGCTAGCTTACCGCCAGCTCGCTAGCTGCCACTTCGTCGCCAGCAGCCACCGCCAGCAGCACGCTAGCCGCTGCCAGCTCGCCGCCAGCACGCCAGCCAGCTCTCCCACTCACCAACTCGCTAGCTCGCTGCCACCTCGCTTGTCAGCTTGCTCGCTCGCCCACTCGCTAGCTCACTCGCCAACTCGCTCTCCAGCTAGCCAACTCGCCGCCAACTCACTAGCTAGCCACTGCCAGCTAGCCACCTGCTTGCCGCTGCTAACTCGCCGCCAGCAGCTGCCGCCAGCTAACCGCCGCTAGCAGCTCGCTCGCAGCTCGCCGCTGCAGCTTGCCACCAGCTCGTTAGTTGCCAGCTCGCCACCAACAGCCGCCCCCAGCTCGCCGCCGCCAGCAGCTCTCTAGCCGCTGCCAGCTCGCCGCCGACTAGCCGCTGCCAGCTCGCCGCCGACTAGCCGCCGCCAGCCACTCGCTCGCAGCTTGCCACCAGCTCGCTCACTGTCAGCTCGCCAATTGTAGCCGCCCACCGCTCGCTCGCTACTGCTAGCTCGCCGCCAGCTCGTCGGCCGCAGCTGCTAGCTAGCCAGCTCGCTGCCAGCTAGCCAGCTCGCTCACCAGCACGCTGCCGCCAGCTCGCCGCCACCTCCCCGCCACCACCTCGCCGCCACCTCGCCGCCAGCGGCTCGCTCCCGGCTTGCTGCCGCCAGCACGCAGCCGCCAGCCGCTTGCTCCCAGCCCGCCGCTAGCTACCACCACTGCCACCTTACTGCCGTCGCTACAACTGACGCCAGCCTGCCACTAGCCGCCACTGCCTCCAGCCTATTGCCCGCCGCCGCTGCCGCTGGCCTACCGCTAGCCACCGCCTCTGCCAACCTCCAGCTCGGTACCGCCAGTTCGCCGCTCGCAGCCACTGCTGCCAGCCTGCCCCTCGCTGCCACTACCGCCAGTCTGCCGCTAGCTGTTGCTGCCGACAGCCTGCCGCTAACAGCCTTTGCCACCAGCCTGCCGCTAGCCGCTTGCTGCCACTGCCGCCAGCTTGCTGCTAACCGTTAGTGCTCTCCACCTGTTGTCACCCATCCGCTCGCCAAGAGCCTGCCACCAGTACCTAGCCCACTGCTGCTACCTCCGTTAGTGCTCCTGCAGCCCCTAGCGCCTCCCTCTAGTCTCCCCCTTATATCTGGAGTTCCTCGCCGCCTCTCCTATCAGCATGACGACCTCGTTGGGGTTAGTCCCTTAGCTGGACGCCGACGGCCGGACAGTTCCCTCCGCTCCCCGGCTTCTCGCTCTCTGCCTACGGCTGGTGAGCCAGCACGTAGATGGCATGCTCTTGGGGGCCCACATTACTTCGCTCACTGGCTTTTGGCTCCACGACCTCGAGGTACGCTAAATGGCTACCTGCCCAGTGCCGCTACCACAGCAGCAGCCGCCATCGCAGCTGCAACAGCAGCAGCAGCCGTAATGGGGACCTAGGGGTGTTGGCAAGTTCGCCTCCGGCCGCATGCGCGTGCTCCGTGTGCACTCTGACCGTAGTGGCGAGTTCGCCTTCAGCCGTCTTAGAGTGTTCTGTCGTGCGGAGAGCATTACCCAGACAAACACAATGCCAGACTCCCCGCAGTAGAATGGGTTCGCTGAGCGATGCATCGGCCAGGTCATGGAAGTAGCTCACACCTCCTTGGTCAACGCCGGTGCACCCCATTTTTAGTGTCCGTTCGTAGTGCGCTACGCAGCTCACCAGCTTAACCGGTGGCCATGCTCCTTATGCCCACGGGTTTTGTTGACGCTCCTATGAACCAGGTCTCCTAGTTCCAGGTCTGGGGCAGCCTCGCTCACGTCCGCGCCAGTGGCGCGGACAAGCTCTCAGCCCGCTCTCTCCCTTGTGTCTTCCTTGATTTTCCGCTTGATGCTCCTGACTGGCGATTCTACCACCCGATACACCATCACTACTACCGCTCACGTAATGTTACCTTCGACAAGACGGTTCCCTACAACACCTGCTTCCCTTGCTGTGGTTTGCGTGTCCCTCCTCCTCTATTCCTTACCTTTACACCACCTGTCCCCGTCCGGTGTCTCTCACGCCACCCCGCTCCCCTCAGTTGGGCTCGTGGGGAAATTTGCTGACTCTGGAGGCCCCGTCGCTTAGGGTGCACGTGCCGCCCCTTTGGTGCCTCCCCTCCTAGCCTCGGTGCCCCAGGCACCTCAGAAGCCTCCCCCCTCGCAGTAGCAGCAGCAGCAGCAGCCGCCACAGGAGACAATGGGCTCTGGGGGTGCTTGCTCAAGAGGTTTTGGTTCTATGGGTGGGGCGTCAGGGGGTGCTAGTCCTTGGGGTGCTGTTTCAAAAAGTACAGGTGGTAGCCGAGGTGGGGCTGGAGATCCTAGAGTGGACAGGGAGCAGCAGGAGCAGCAACCGCATTCTGCCCTTCGTCTCCTTGGCCTTTCCTCCGGTTCCCCTGACTGACCGCCTATCCCTCCTACTGTGCCTCCCCTCTCACCTTACCCTATCTACGGCCCACAATCCCCCCCTCCCCCGACTCCTCTCTGACTTGTTCCCCCCCTCACTCTCCCGCATCCCCTGTCCTGTCCCCCGTTCCCCCTCGTCCCCAGTCCCGCATCCTTCCCCCTTGGGTTTGTCGTCCCCCTGGTGGTCATCCTGTCTCTCCTATGGTCCTTCATTCTTGTGCTTCTCGAGTCCCCGTTCTTCCGTTTACCCCCCAGTAGTCGCTCCCGCTGTCCACTGCAAAGAGAAACGCGCACTTGGAGAGCTGCCGAAGTTCAAGACGCGCAACTTGGTTAGAGGCTTCAATCAGCGGGAGGGTGTGGACTTCTTCCAGACCTTCTCTACTACCTCGAAGATGACTACTCTTCGGGTGCTTCTTCACCTAGCCGCGCAGCGTGACTGTGAGCTTCACTCACTCGACTTCTCCATAGCCTTTCTGTAGGGTAGTCAGCACGAGCAGATCTACCTACGGCGCCCACTAGGCTTCTCTGGATCCTTCCCATCTGGGACCCTGTGGAGCCTGAGGTGCCCATTCTACAATCTTAGGCAGGCGCCACGTGAGTGGCACGACATGCTCCACACCACGCTCGCTGCTCTGCATTTCTTCCCGCCCTCTACTTACCCCTCACTCTTTGTCCGTGCTGGTCAGACTCCGCTGTACATACTTGTGTACATATATGACCTCATCTTTGCTACTTCTGACACAATGGCCTCAGTGCAGGCCGAGCTGCTCAGGCGACACACTTGTACAACCCTGGGAACTGCGGCGCTATCTGGGCTTCGAGATCTCTCGTGATCGTGTCGCGCACACGATCACACTCCTCCAGTCCCACATGGTGCAGCATATCCTCTAGTGGTTCGTCCTTCAGTTCTCTTCGGCATAGCCCACCCCTCTACCTGTGGACCACAAGCTCTTTGCTCCTGTTCCGGATGAGCCGGATCAGGCCAGTGGTCCATACGCAAAGCTGGTGGGGTACCTCATGTGCCTGATGATTCGCACTCGACCAGATCTAGCGTACCCTCTCAGTATCCTTGCTCGCTTTGTTGCGACTAGTAGGCATCGACCAGAGTACAGGTTGGCTACCAAGAGGGTGCTGTGGTATCTGGCGAGTACATCAGGACTGGGCTTGTGCTGGGATGACGGGAGTCAATGGTCCTCATTGGACACACAGACGCGTCGCGGGCTGACGACTAGGAGATGCTCATGTCCTCACAGGGCTACGGCTTTAGTCTTGCTGCGGGTGCGGTCTCATGGAGGTCCACTAGGTTGTCGTTTGTAGCTCAGTCCAGTTGTGAGGCAGAGATCTACGCTAGGAATGTGGCCGCTCAGGAGCTCCGCTAGCTGACGTTCTTGCTCACCGACTTACAGTGACGGAAACAATTGTCCACATGTTTTGTATTAATTAGAGTTTTGGGGCTTTCTGACCACTGTACAAAAAGTCTTAATGTTTAATGTGATATGCTTTGGGAGGGGCACATTGTGGATGTGTTCACAGCACTAAAATCCATAATAGTACACTTGATCTAGCTTAGTGCCAAAGATATACAAAAGAGTACATCCTGACAATTGTTTCCTAGGACAAAGAGCAAACTTCCGAACAGCGTTTCCAATACATAGTCCACCGACCCTTGGTCTTGATCACCACCCACACCCTCCTAGGCATGTTATCTATGAGGTTAGAGAAAATATTTGCAAGGATCTTCTCGCACTCTCCCTGGACCCACCCTTTTGCGTAAGCGGTTGAGCACTAGGAAAATCGTGAAGGATTTGAGCATATGCAAGAATATTGTGCACGATTTTTGATTGAATGCTATCTCTTAGACTAGCCACGCTGAGGTGTGGCAAAAGATGTCATTAGCCGCTTGGTCCCGTCTTTTCATGGGTCGTCTTCATCGCACCGCTGTAGGGTAAAACTACGAACAGAGTGGCAAAAACTAGCGTATACACCGCGAAACTGAGGGTAACATAGCACAGTCGATTGTGCACCTTTGCAATATTAGAATCACGCTACAATCTGCAGGTCTTGTCACGGTACAGTAGTCGAAGAAGTCGCGATTGTTCAGGAAGAATATTCGGGTTGAGGCCTGGTGAGGAAAAGGGTCAATCTAGTGCAACATACTCATGCTCTCCAAGCCATTC